ATGCACTTCCTTTCTAATGAAGCTTGGACAGTTTCCCCAATCCCTCCAGACCAAAACACATGGGCTGCACATATGTGGCACTCCAGTGTTGTCATTGCCTGGCCAGTGAACAGATCAAAGCTCTCCACACAGACCCTTGCCAACACCTGGGGTGGTGACCTTCTCACCAGAAAATGCAGGAGAACTTCCCTGGGCTTTATGAGTGTGGGGAGATGAGGCACACACTTTTCTTAAAACCGAAGTGCAGAAATTATAGCTGCTATTGCAAACACATGCTGGGCTTAAAATTTGCTTTCACACATCCCCAAATTGGGTGCCATTTTTCATGCAGTTGAAACCAAAGAGACAAAAATCTTGAAATTTAAAAGGATTTTCATCCACGCTGTGAAAATCTTGCTAAACACTTTTCCTTGTGTTCATGGAGAGCTAATGAAATTAATTATTAGTATTTTGTTGCACAATGGAAGCAAGGCCATCCCACATTTCTAAATACCCATCATCTGTGCACAAAAAAGCTTTTGAGTCCATTGTACATACCTTAAAATTCTATGTGCCCTTTGGGAGACTATAGTACCCACTCCCTCTGCACTCAGAAGCACACAGAAGCCGTGTGTTGTGTTTGCTGCTCTCGCCATCTGCTAGCTGCCATCAACACCCTCTCTGGTTTCCTCCAACAGGACAGCCTTATAAGAACCCTTGTAGATCATTTGATAGGCTTTGACAACACAGTGGGAACTGGGCTTGTTTCCTTTCCTGCATTGCATCTGTAGCAAAGCTTTCTCAAAATGTGGGCAACTTACACTTAGGAACTGAAAAAAATGAGCAAAAAATTCATTCTCCACAGTCCTACTCTTTCTTGGGTGTTGTGGGGGTCAGCAGTGATCATGATGCCCCTCACGACTTGGAACTGTATCAGCCAGTACACTGATAGTTTGCTTCTTATCTGTAGTGCATTTATTGATTACCCATCTGGGAAGCCGTGACAGAGTTGATACTTAAGCAAACCTTTGGGTTAGTGACTGAGGGAAAGCTGCTGCTCTCCTGAGTAGTGACCACTCGTTTATACCAAAGTCAGATGTGTAGCTTTGAGAACATGTTTTGTGAATGAAGCAGTGATGGGTTAGATCCTTTCAACAACCTGTGGGAGTGGAGAAGCTGAAGCATGAGGAGACCACAAGCGTGTGACACACAGGTCTCATCGCGGAGTGAGACAAAGGACAACATGGGCTCTGGGGAAGAGATTCCGACCTGGCTTCCAGTTAGCCTCTTGCTCCTAGTAGCTATGTGTCTTGACCAGAATCTATGTCTCAGAAAATCAAGTTTTACACTTGTAATATGATGTGGGAACACGCACTTCATGGGGGTGTGATGAACACTAACAAGAATATAGCGAAGTGATGGAGTGAAAACTTCCTGAAATGTAGTCAGGCCAGGGAACACTTGGTGAAATGACTAAGTTACAGCAACAGACAGAAGATTAGTGGCTGTACAGATTGCTCTGAAGGGTGGAGGAAGATAAAGGAGCTGAGCTGTACCCCTAAAAGACCAGCAGGATGGACACTAGTCATAGGAGTTACCAGTACCTGCACTGGACTGTTGCATACATAAGCCTGTCTGGCTGATAAAAGTATAGATTTTGACACAGCCGCATGAAAGGCATACAGGAAAATCGAAATGAGAAGGTAGTTGGGCTAACATCAATACCCTCATTCAGATTCAGGGAAATTCCGCAACAGTGTTACAAAATGTCATCAGAGAGGGGAAATTAGTGCAGTGTACAATGTCTCTCTCTTCACTAGCTCTTCATAACCCTAACTAAAATGAAAGAAAACTATAAAGGTTAAGAAAGTTATATGTTTTTATTGCAAGGAATTTGTTAGATAACAGATTTTTTTTGTTCTAACTCATATGCCCTCCATTATCGGAAGCCAAAATGCATTCAAAGCTGTGCCCAGAGCAAAGGCGCAGAAAACTGTTTACCAGAAGGTATTGATCCACAGTAGATAATACCTTCCCTTGGAGGTGGGTGCAGACAAGCAAGACATCTTCAAGATTTCTCAGATCTCTCCCTCTCTGTGTCCCCCTACACACAGAAACTTTGGTAGATTAATTTTGAACATCAAATATTTTAAGAGCCCATTTCATGGGTTATTAACTGAAATAAATTGTTTGAAATGGTGTATTTCTGTGATGGGTCTCATTCATAAAGATTCAATATTTGTAACAAAAATGAAAATGGGTTCATTTAAAGATAGTTAGCACCGGACACCTAACAACGAGGAGGGTGGGAGCCTCGGCCATCTATCAGAGAGATTTGCATGCTACAGATAATCTTGCAGCCTCTGGCACTCACACTACAGTGTCCAGGCCACGGGTCGGTGATTTCACCAGCACGCATGCGGTTGTTATTTAAAGCTCTCCAAGGCATACATCTGCATTACCATCTGCCATCTCAGTCGCAGTTTTCATCTATGCTGAGAGTGGGGGAGGGACATAACCAACTGGGGTCTGTGTGGAATGTATGTGGGAGGGTGGGGAGGTCCACAGCAGCACCAGCCTGAACTTGGGAGTGCATGTGCCTATGCAAAGAGATGTGGGAATCCATACGCTTTGAAGATAATCCCTTGGAACTGTGGGAAATTAAATGACTAAGAGTTCATAGTTCCATAGGCTAGAACGCCATTTCAATAAAGTGGTTCAGTTCTCAGGAGTCTCCATAATATAGCTCAGTCACCCATGCTTTTTTGATGATAAATTTGACTCAGTAAAATTTCAGGATCCTTCTCTTTGTGGAGGGCTCTACTAAGAGGCTAAAAAGATAAGCACAAATTATGAGCAAATATTTGCAAACTAAGTTTCTAATTAAGGATTAGTATCTAGAATATGCAAAGAATTTTGAAAATTCAACATTAAAAAAACAACAATCCAATTGGATGCATAAAGATGCAGAGAGAGGCACTTCACAAGGAAAATGCATATGCACACGGAAAATGTTTAATATCACAGTCCTTTTAGGTGGTGCAAATTAAAATCACAACGAGCTATCACCACGGAATGAGAATAGTGTTTAGGAAGTTGTGCCAATACAAAAAGTTACTGAAGATAAGAGACCAGAGCATTCACACTCTGCTAGTGGGAATGGGAAACAATACAGATGCTGTATGGTATCATAACATTAAACATTTGATTGCCAGAAATTGCACTTCTGGGCACATATCCAAGAGAAACAAGAGATTTCGTTCACAGAAAAGCCTCTACACAAATGTTCAGAGCAGCTTCATTTGTAACAGCCAAACATTGGGGATAACACGGGTGATCTTCAGTAGTTGAATGGTTAAACACACTGGTACCACAGAATGAAAAGGAAGGTGTTAGTTGTGCAGACCGTGATGAATCCTCACAGAATACACTCCAAAAGAAGCGCCAGGCCACAGACTTCTTCTGCAAGACTCCATGCTTATCACAGTGTTGAGATGTCAAGTTGATGGTAAGGGAATGGGGGAGAGAAGAGGTCGGCCTAGACACACACCTGATGAGGGAGCCACGTGCTGTCAGAAATGCTCTGCATATGATGACATCAACACCGTGTGGTAGCTCTGGCATTGTACTAGTTTGTCAAGGTGCCTCCCCTGGGGCCAGGAGGACTGTCTAGGGATTATTTTTTAAGTTGCATGCTAATTTACAGTTACCTCGAAAAGACAACTGAAATGAAAACTAAAACATTTTGGAAGAAAGTGTATCCATTTTCAGTTATGTTTGGAATGAAGAGTAACAGAGAGGCCACCAAGGCTAATGTTGAGGTATCAGGCAGCTGGAAACAGGGAGCTGCTTCTGGTCAATGTCTCTTCCAGTGAGGAGTAAGGACCTTTCTTCCCAAGCTATCATTTGAAAACAGGGTTTCACTGTGCAACTGTGGTCGTTCTGGAACTCACTCTGTAGACCGGGATGGCCTTGAACTCACAGAGACCTGTCTACCTCTTGCTGGGATTAAAGGCCTCCCTTTTTTGTTTTATTTTGTTTTGTTTTTCACTGTAATGTGTGTGTGTGTGTGTGTGTGTGTGTGTGTGTGTGTGTGTGTGTGGTGTGTTTTAAATCCTTGCAAGGGGCATGAGCTGAGCCAGAATATAGAGCTTTACTCTTCACAGGCCAGCAAGTCTTACTGGCTTACTTGGGCCCACATATGTTTTTGTTTGTTTGTTTTGGCTTTGGAACAACTTGCTTGATTCCTATGGTAGAACACAGGCTTTTTGGTATCCAAACAGTGTTATCAGGGACTTTTCTCTTTTGCTTTGAGCTTTTTGACATGTTCTTTGATAAAGAGTAGGATAGAGTGGCCAGGAACAGGGACTTGTCATTACTTAGTGGATTCGAACCCTCTTCTTGTTGTTAGGTAATGGTAAGACCACTTTCACATATGTCTTCCAAGGGTGATGGGATTCTGAATTCTGTGAGACTTCGTGTTCCCTTGAAAAAAATCTGTAAAGCTTTGGGACACTTGTGGTGATGGTCTGACCTCTCGGTTTCTCTCTCCTGTTAAGATGAGGGTTACTACAGCTGTCCACTTCAAGGTTGTCAGAGCTAACAGGATCTGGAAGGGTGCCTTGCACTCTGCCACTTGGAGAGTTAACAGTCTGTAAATGTTAGTGAGTGGTACCACCATTATCCCTTTCCTCATTGTGACACTGTTCTCTGCACTTAACTGACAGCAACTTGAGTGCTGAAATTTGCTGTGGCCCTTCAATGACAAGCTGCTAACCTCTATGCTTCAGTTTCCACATTTGTGATGACAGGCAACCCCACCCCTGAAAAAAGATTTTTAAATCTGCTGCTGAATTTTTAGGATTCCCAGGTAGAGTAGATTTCTGAGAACTCAACAGAGACCCCTTCCACGTGCTTTTGTTTATAATACACAACCATTGCTGCAGAGAACAGGAGTGACCAAGTTAGTTATCATTCCCTCTCCATCCCCCTGGCCCCAGTGTGCTTGAGAAACAGAACATCCCCATGGCAACCACAGCAGCTGGTCCCTAGATAAGAGGAGCTGGAGCAGGGCAGCGGCAGCCAGTGCTGCTGAGGAGTAAGAGCCCAGCCCTGAGAAGCACACCGCCTCTAGCCTCTCTCTCTGCCTTCTCAGCTCAGCACCTTCACTGACTGGTAAGTGCTTTGGATTTTTGCTCCAGGAACTTTTGGGATGAAAACGTAAAGCAAGCTGCCAGTATCTTACTGCTTCCTTGTGTTTGGTGGGACAAAGGAGAGTGTGCAAGACTAAGCTGGGGTGCCCTGGGGCAGACAAAGTCACAATTGTCACACCCATTTTCTGGGGGTGTGAGGGTTCTGAGTTCTGTGACCATCCCCATCCTCCCAAATGAAACCTTTTGTGATGTTTGGAGCTGGGTGTGATGTGTCTTCCCACTGGAAGGAGGCCTTGTCCATCTGGGCAAAGTGCCCAGTTCCCCCTCACATTCTACTCCAAGGCACAGTCAGCCCTTGAGGAAGACTACATGCAGACTTAGAGCTTACAAATGGAGAAATTCTATTTGCATATGTAGTGTTCTAGGGCCCCAATTCAACCCTTGGTTAAAAGAGGTTGGCAAGGATATGAACTTTGCAAAGTCAGGGGGAATACTGACCAGATTTACACTGGACTGTGGATATAATTTTTCCAAAGCTTTTAGTATACCAAGTAAAGCTAGACTTAATTGTTTGTGGATGTCTTTTAGAATATTACATGGTTAACAGAGAGCCCATCAACTTCTGAGACTTACTTCTGTGATCCTAAGGCCTGGAAAAGGGTGTTCTGTCTTTGTTTTGTGCCTTTGGGGGTGCTAAATTCAATGACAGATTTAGAAAAGTCCAGAACTAGGATGAGATTGGTATGACAATTAAGAGTGATTTACTGTAGGTATAATCACAAGGAGTAAGTGACCAAAGAAGGTATTCACTCACAGAAGGGTCAGTGGTGTGCCTAGCTGGTCACTGTCCCTTTCAACAGCCCTAGGGGACAGCATCTGGCACACCTAGTTACAGATGTAAAAGCTATTGTTTTTTGGACTTTTGGCTAGGATAAAGTCCTCCGATGTGAAAGCCAACTTTCCAAAATAATTCCTTGCTACCCAACTAGAGAGTAGAGAAGGTAACCAAGACTGTTTCTGTCTAGAGGTGCCTCACAGTGCATCACCTTGGGGGCAATGTCCTGCCCATGGATTAAAATGTATATCCTTACACTCTTATGAGAACAGACAAAATGCCTGGGCCAGCTTGTGACCCCTGTGTGTGCAGAGGCAGCACAGCAATCCCCTTGAAAGTAGCCTGGGTGAGTGGAGACTAGCCTCAGCAAAGTGTGCATCTGAACTGTCATAGCTATCCTGACACACACTGGCCCTCTGGCTCTTCTGCAACTTGATGAGGCATATTCTTGGGCGCCTAGACCCTCCGACTCAAAAGGTTAAGTGACAGCTGTCCTCAGCTCTAGCTGTGCAGTCTGATAACAATACATGGGTCTTCTCTCCCAGTGGAATTTGCATTTGCAGGTATTCACCAGAAAGAAAGGCTAGGTCCCTTATGAATAGTTAGTAAGAAAGCTGCAAGATTTTAACATATTGAATCCTGGAAATCTCCCCGAGATTCTGAAGTTACGACTGTTGGTCTAGTGCACACCACACATGGGCCTCCCACATTCTCTCAAATAACCACCAAGGAAACACTCCAGATAATCAGACTTGTATTCTCTGAGATGTCCGAAACCGAAAAACAGAAAGGACAAAGGATGGTTCGGCTGTTATGCAGATCCTCATAAGCTCATTCAGTAGCAAACCCTGACTTGAAAGGTTAGGAATCTTCATGGAGTCTGTCCTTGCACCCTTTATTGTGAATACTTGCATTTGGCTGTAGAAATGATTTATAAGATTGCTAGGGCTCCCCAAGGACTTCCAGGGACTATTACAAAATGAAAATGCCCTGGTTCCCACAGCACATTTGGCTTTAGGTGATGATGGGTGGGCCTATGCTGAATGGAAGTAAGAATTCAGAGACCCTGCTGAGGCAGTATGAGGCAAGAAAATGGCAAAAGAGTTACAAATCGCTTGACTGAAAATGAAACACCACAGAGAAAAGCCTGGGAGAAGGCCTTAGCATGGGGTTTGGAATCTGAGGACCCAGAGGACCAATTACTTAGGTTTGAGGAAAATAACTGGTTCCCCATAAACTCCCCAATTTACAACAAGCAGGCAAGGGAGCCAAAGAAACCTTCCCCGTACATCATGACAAGTGCAGGGTCCTCCACAAAAACATGTCTGGAACACAGAGAAAGCCTAGGGGGTAATGCATGGGCAGAGTGGGGAGCAGGAATGAGACAGACCTGTACCTTCCCGTGGCAGGGAGCCTCCTTTCCTCTGACTTTCCTCAGAGGATGGGAGTGGAGAACAGGGCAGGGCTCTGATCATCTCATACCAGCACCCTACAGGCAGTGACAGGTGACCTCCATCCATGAGACAGCCCTGAATCTGGCACTCCCTCATCATTCTTATAGGTTCTGTATTTTCTTTGAGGATTTCATGGCAGGACAGTCATAATGACATCATCCAAGATTAAAGTGTCTTGTATTCTTCTGGGCAAAACACATCTCTGCCAGTTATCTCTGATATTATTGTAACATAAAATCCCATATCTGAAAATGGTTTCCTAGCCCCTCCTCTCTATCAAAAGTTAGTTCAGCAACGTTAGATTTCAATCACACTGGTTTAAAAGAGAGTCACTTCCTATATAGACAAAGCAATCGGAGTTGTCTTTGAGAGGAGCCCTTGTCAGATTTGACAGGAGATTGGTGGAGAGGAGTCCTTGTCAGATTTTGATGAGGGGTTGGTGGCCCCAGCCTGTCAGAGGACTCTGACATCCTGGGTCACGTGTGCTTCACCAGCGGTGGGTGGGCCCTTCCTTTGGTGGTTCACTGCTGACAACACAGCTTATCTCATAGGAAGGCTGGTTCTCACCGGCTCAACATCTACATGAAAGTGAAAGTTTCTGTTGTTTCTTAGCGTTTTTCAGTTACACAACTGGTTCTCATCAGCTGCCATAGACAATGGTAACTGTCTAATAGAAAGTACTCTCATTGTGTTAAAACATGAGACAATTGAACTCGCCTTCACAGGAACTCTATGGAGAAGGTATTATTACTTCAGATCTGTCTGACTTAAAAACATAGGTCCAAAGTAAATAATCAACTACTGGATTCACAGGAAATATGGTCCTAGTACAAGGAGCAAATTGCTTTCGGGTGGAGAGGAGAAGGGAAGTACCGCAGACCCACCTGACAAGTGTGTAGAGTAAGGGCTTGAGTCGCAGCAATAATTCTGGTTGAATGCATGAGTCATGACAGGTCAGTCTAAAGTCTCTCAATTCAGTTGATCCTGAGGGTGGATACTTTCAGCAGGTCACCATGGGGTGATTAGCAGCACACCTGTGACAACCACTGCAGAAAAGAGGACGTTTCTTTAAATAGGACCACGTTAAGTCTGTCACAATGGCACCCTCAGCATAGAGCCCACTCTTCCTGGGTGACAATTCCCTGTTCAAAAATACTGGCACAAGGGACAGTCTACAGAAGCTTACAACACACTTCCCTATGATTCCAGGGAGTTGGCACTCTCTACCCAGGCACTAAGAACAATGGTCTGAATTGATTTCTGCTGAAGTCACTCACACAGTCTGCTAAGAGTGACACTAAAAGCCAGGCTCAAGTGATCAGCTAATGGCCCATCTGCTCTGCAATGATCTCAGCTCATGGGGGAAAATCCCTCAGCCTTCCCGGGGAACAGCGGCTTAGTCTTCAAAGGTGAAGGACTTAATTCATCCTGGGCTCCCAAACTGTCATTGTAGATGATCTGTAGTTTCTCTGCATGTTGCAGGCTCTGGACTCTCATGAGAAAAGGATTGGTTTGAGCATTTTAACCTTAGTCATTTCTCCCCCTGACCCTGCCCTTGTTATTCTGGACACCAGCAATAAATTGTCAGATCAGAACAAAAGAAACAGACTCTAATGAAGACTTTCTGGAAACCTCAGCTAGTGTATGTCTCCTCCAGACTTGACATGTATCCATGCAGAATTTCACTCCTTCCAGACAAGGTTGTAACTGATCATGGGGGAAGTTCTCGGATTTGTGTTCCAGGAAAATCAGGAGTCCTGGGACAAGAAGAGGCTGTCTTTTACGTCAGGAATTCCTAAGAAGGAAATAGAAATTTTCACAGAGAACAAACTTTCCCTCTCTGGGTGCCTGCTGTCCTCGTGAAATGCATGAGGAGAAAGTTGAGTTCTTTTATAAGTTACAATCATGAGGAACTGGGAACCTTAGTCAACCCTGGTTTCAGAAAATTCACTTCACTTTTAAGAGACTAAAGTGCCTAAAACTAACTGGAACTAGATTTTCATCTAAGCTTAACTAAGATGTGTGACAACAAAATTAATTGTAAATTTGTACACTTCAATTCCTCATCTGTTGTACAGATATAATCATACTCTATAGAGGTTAACACATGATGCATCATTGATGTTTTCTTTAACTCTTACCCAGCTTATTTCTAATTTAGACTTGATTGGATTCTGGAACCCTTAAGTAGCCAAAGAAATGAACATTTGATATATAGTAATTTCTTTTTATCATTTTTTATTTTAATTTTAAATAGCTTGTTTTACATGTCAATCCCAGTTCCCTCTTCCTCCCCTCCTCCTGCACTCCCTTCCCCCCCTCCCTCCCACCCTATTGCCAAATCCTTCCACATAGGGGATATCTAGAGTCTGTCATTTTACTCCGGGTAGGGTCCAGGCACTCCCCTAAGAGTCCAGGCTGAGAGAGCATCCCTCTTTGTGCTATAGGCACACGAAGACTGTTTGTATTCCAGGGATAGACACTGATCCACAGCTCAGGGCCCCATAGGTTGCCCAGGCCTTTTCGCTGACACTCACATTTGGGGGGTCCAGATCAGTCCCATGCTGGCATCCCCACTGTCAGTCTGGGGTCCAAGAGCTCTCCCCTGTTCAGATCAGCTGTCTCTGCTGGTTTTGCCAGACCATTCTTTGCCAATTTGCTCATCACTCCTCTCTCTCTGTCACTGGGTTCCTTGGGTTCAGTTCAGTGATTAATTGTGTGTTTGCCTCTGCTTCCATCAGTCACAGGATGAAGGCTCCAGGATGGTTATAGACATCAAGTTCATTATCAGGAATGGGCATTTGAGGTGGTCTCTCCACTATTGCTTAGCTTGCCAATTGGTGTTATCCCTTTAGATCACTAGGCTCACAACCAAAAATATAGTAATTCCTAATAGGGACAGAGACAACGTGTGTGTGTGTGTGTGTGTGTGTGTGTGTGTGTGTGTGTGTGTGTGTGTGTGTGTGTGTGTGTGTTTTATTTGATTTTGGCTTACATTTCAAATTTAGCACTTGACTATATAAGAATCAGACTTGACCAAAAAAAGGATTGAGCAGGGGGTCTATAATAATAATCAATCTGCAGCCAGTATATTTACTGAATAAATGAGTGAATGAATGAACAGAAGGCATACTTATGTACCTATTACTGCCTTTAATTCTCCAGTTCTCTCTCTCTCCCTCCTGCTGCTGAGGATGGCCACTGAGATGATGGCCACGGAGCCAGTGCAGCCTCTGGAGCTTTCAGAAGACATACTGGACAAGTTCGATCCTCACTGTGGCAGCTCAGGTAAGTGTTCCTTTGGGAATGCCTATCCTGCAAGCCAGACAAGGGTTCTGTGCCATCCTGCTTTCAGGCGAGTCAGAGAGAAGGCCCCCTGAAACCGGATCTGCTGTGCCTTCTGGTGACAGCCTACACCAGATGGACAGGCAAATAGCCATGGGTCTGTGGGGTCCGCCATGTAAATATTAGCTGAAATACTGGAGAGAAGTTCATTCGAATTAGAGAGAGACAGGGAGAGGCAGAGAAGCATTGTCCTGTGTTTTGGATGTGACAGAGTCCCAGGCAGAGCATTTTTGAGGCAATAAATGGAATGTGGCAATATAGCTTGTTTCCAGTATTTTCCAGCACACTTAAACCCCATGTGCAGTGCCAATAAAATATTCCAAATATCTCTCTTTGCCTATCAAGACAGAATTTTAAATAGCCCTTTTCTGCTTTATTGTCAATCTGTTTCCTTTCCAGAACTGACTTTTTGCATAACCTTTGTAATGAAAACACCAGAAACATTTCTGCCTCTACCCATTTCTAAAAATGAGACACTCAGACTTTTGATAGATGGGCCTTTTGCATATTCATAGCCTTTGTTAATGCCTTGTCTGGTTATGACTCCTCTCATCTCCCCTCTCCTCGATTGCCTTCAAGATATTTTATGTTCAGGATTCTTCCAAAAAATAAGGAAAATTGCAATTGAAATGAAAGTCAAAATTGAAACAAATGTCTTGCTCTTTGTACTAGGTGCCAAGTAGCACCTTGTGTTTGGATTGTAGCCCACCACTAATAGATTCATATGCAAACTATGCCTCCAGGAAACCCACAGCTGGGAAGCACCCATCCTAAGCAACACCACTCAATCATTACCCATAGTGTGTACAACATGGGAAAGGAAGAATAAATCACTATGTGGTAACAACTTTGATGAATCACAGTGTCAACCAGGTAGACTATATAGCTGAGGAATAGCTCCTAGCGCCTAACTTGATCCTTAGCAATAACCTGGCCATATCTGCAAACTGGAGATGATAGTGGAATAACTGTAAGCTTAGTGTGGGGATTAATGAGATAATTTGTTCAGGAATGGGATGAATATTGAACAGCTGGTAAAACACAGACATTGATAAACTGGGAGAGCCCATGTGATGCAAAGAAATCAGTAAAATCTCCCCACACTTCCTTTTCTTATGTCTGTGAACTGCACAAAGTCCAGGACCCTCACAGAGTACCGCCTCAATAAGTGTTGACTAGATCAAGACTATTAAGTGACATAATGAATGTCTTCCAATTAAAGGAAAAGCTTACTGTCACCAAAAGGAACCATGACATCTGATTTTTGCTTTGTTTATATAGGGTGATGATTGATGATTCAAGCACAGTGGTGTATGGTTACTAAATATTTCTAGTCTTCCTTAAGCATATGAGCTAAGAAGAATCTTTCCAATTCACTATAAAAGCAACTTGAAGGCAAGAATAATTTCTTACCATTTCAAATCTAATAATAATTGACAGAGACTAGGCTGTTAAGACATATACATATAGAGCAATTAATGACACAGGGTATGTCTGGACCCACAAAAATGAAGTGAAAGGGTCAAATATTTAATCTTGGATATTTTAAAGAAGTTTATCTGAACATTTTCCCAAAGAAATATATAAAGAAGGGAAGAAATATGGGAGCAAAGAATAGACATACACACCTGTAACCCCAACACTTACAAGGGTAAAGCAAAAATATGATCAGCTCAAGGCCAGCCTGGACTAAACAGAGAATTCTGGGAGTGGGCTGCTGAGAGAGGAAGGATGAAGGAAAAGAGAGGAGAAGGTGGAGGAGCAGGGAAATACTGAGAGGGTAAGTTAACCGCACAATTTCCCATATTCTTTCATATTTCTAGAAATATGCAGACTGTTCACAGTCCAGGGTTATTAACTTTTAGAGAAAACATGCAGGTTCTTTGTCTTGTAGAATACATCTTTACACTAAGTCCATTTGAGTCCATTCATGTAAGCACATATTGAACAAATATGTATTCGTGGGCTGAAATGATTTTAAAGGCACAAAGTAATAACAGAAATAATATGAAATCATCCCTTAAAATACTACCCAAACTGAATAGTACTCCGTTGTGTAAATGTACCACATTTTCTCTATCCACTCTTCAGTTGAGGGACATCTAGGTTGCTTCCAAGTTCTGGCTATTACGAATAAAGCTGCTATGAACATAGTGGAACAGACATCTTTGTTGTATGAATGGGCATCTTTTGGATATATGCCTAAGAGTGGAGTTGCTGGGTCTTGTGGTAGGTTTATTCCCATTTTTCTGAGGAATCTCCATACTGATTTCCAAAGTGGCTGTACGAGTTGGCACTCCCACCAGCAATGGAGGAGTGTCCCCCTTTCACCACATCCTCTCCAGCATAAATTGTCATTAGTGTTTTTGATTTTAGCCATTCTGACAGGAGTGAGATGGTATCTCAGAGTTGTTTTGATTTGCATTTCCCAGATGGCTAAGGATGTTGAGCACTTTCTCAAGTGCCTCTCAGCCATTTTAGACTCTTCTATTGAAAACTCTCTATTTAGTTCTACAGCCCACTTTTTAATTGTGTCCTTTGATGTTTTGAAGACTTGCTTCTTGAGTTCTTTGTAAATTTTGGAGTTCAACCCTCTGTCAGATGTGGGATTAGTGAATATTTTTCCCATTTTGTGGGCTGCCTTTTTGTCTTGCTGACTGTGTCCTTTGCCTTACAGAAGCTTCTCAGTTTCAGGAGGTCCCATTTGTTAATTGTTGATCTCACTGTCTGTGCTAGTGGTGTTATGTTCAGGAAGCTGTCTCCTGTACCAATTCATTCAAGGGTACCACCCACTTTCTCTTCTAAGAGGTTCAGTGTGGCTGGATTTATGTTGAGGTCTTTGATCCATTTGGAGTTAAGTTTTGTGCATGGCGATAAACATGGATCGATCCACATTCTTCTACATGCCATCCTCCTGAGATTCGCAGGCAAATGGATGACACTAGAAGAAACCATCCTGAGTGAGGTAACCCAGTCACAAAAAGAGAAACATGGCATGTACTCTCTCATATATGGATTTTAGAAATAGATATGGGGAGTGCCAGCCTACAATCCCATGGCCAGAGAGTCTGGGAAACAGAAACTTCATTTAGTGGCTGATCCAAGAAAAGGCAGACTCCCTCCGTTAAGTACTGAGCTGAACTCAAGAAAGCCAGTAACAGAGAGGGAGGACTGATGACCAAAGATTAAGACTGGGCTGGTTTAACCTCCAGAAACAGCTGACCTGACAAAGGTTAACTCTTGAATCCCAGGCATCAGCCTGGGAATCCAGCCTGGGACTGATCAAGACCCCCCTGAATGTGAGTGTCAGTGAGGAGGCCTAGGTAATCTATTGAGCCTTGGGCAGCAGATCAGTACCCATCCCGAGTATACACACGGACTTTGGACTCCCATCCAACAATGTGAGGTGCACTCTCACCCTGAACTCTTGGGGAAGGGTCTAGGCCCTGCCCTATATGAAATGACAGACTATGGACACCCCCATGGAGGGCCTCACCCTCCCTGGGGAAATGAGGGGATAATGGGGGGGTGTTGGGGGGAGGACATGGGAGGAGGGGAGGGAAAGGGAGAGGGACCTGGAACTGACTTGTGAAGCAACCTTGTTTCTTATCTAAATTTAAACTGAAAAATAAATAAATAAATAAACAAATAAATAAAATACTACCCAAGCCAAAATGCTATTAACATTCAGAAGCTGAGAAAGGATAGTCAGGGCTGAGGTTAACAGAAAAAGACAAACAACTCTGACGCCTTATGCTGATCTACTAGAAGTCCTGACTGAGCAATGACACAGCAGGTGGGGTATTGAGCAGATATGCAAGACACACGCACATGGATTAAGTATCACCTGCACTTAAGCAGTGGATATGATATCAACAAGTCTACAAATTAAGTCCCAAGTTCTTAGAATCAACAAATGAGAAACTAAAGATGTGAACACAGATTAGTTCAACTTCCATTTAAAGCATATTTGTTAAAGAGAGATGCAGTTAAGAACCAAACTCCAAAAAGGTTGTGACCTTTGTCTCCTTGAAGACTGTCTGGAGCAGGAGATTAATCATTTCAGAACAGTGGTTTGGGGCTTGAACAATGGCAGATAAATGCATAGGAGAGCAGAACAGACAAAGACATCTGGTTTAAGATGAAGCCAAGAGCCTAGTGATTGGTCTGGATTCATCACCGCGAGAATATCTGATGATGTAATGTAGAAGTTGAGCTGAAGAGGATCTAGTAAAGGCGCTGTGAAGAGTAAAGAGATGAGACAGAAAACAACAGTATAAAAAGGAGCCTTGCAAAGACCTGGGGCAGAGAAGGCCCTGTAGATGCTGAAGCCTGCGCAGGGCTTTTCAAGAGGACTAGAAAATGCATAGGTAAGGCATGCATTAGATTCACTCTCCACCCTAGTGAAGTGTTCCAGGATCCAGGAAGCCTTTGTTGCCCATGGCTTGTGGCCTTTTTTTTTTTTTTTTGGTTTTTTTATCATTTTTTATTTTAATTTTAAATAGCTTGTTTTACATGTCAATCCCAGTTCCCTCTCCCTCCCCTCTTCCCGCACTCCCATTCCCCCCTCCCTCCCACCCTATTGCCAAATCCTTCCACATAGGGGATATCTAGAGTCTGTCATTTTACTCTTGGTAGGGTCAAGGCACTCCCCTAAGAGTCCAGGCTGAGAGAGCATCTCTCTTTGTGCTATAGGCACATGAAGACAGTTTGTATACCAGGGATAGACACTGATCCACAGCTCAGGGCCCCATAGGTTGCCCAGGCCTTCTCACTGACACTCACATTTGGGGGGTCCAGATCAGTCCCATGCTGGCCTCCCCACTGTCAGTCTGGGGTCCAAGAGCTCTCCCCGTTCAGATCAGCTGTCTCTGCTGGTTTTGCCAGCCCATTCTTTGCCAATTTGCTCATCACTCCTCTCTGTCACTGGGTTCCTTGGGTTCAGTTCAGTGATTAGTTGTGTGTTTGCCTCTGCTTCCATCAGTCACAGGATGAAGGCTCCCGGATGGTTATAGACATCAAGTTCATTATCAGGAATGGGCATTCGAGGTGGTCCCTCCACTATTGCTTAGCTTGCCAATTGATGTTATACCTTTAGATCACTCGAGGTCACTCTGGTGCCTGATCTGTCTTCGATACTATGATTCCCTCTTCCCCCTATTCTACCCCCACCCCCTCAACTTCCTGTTCCCCCATGGCCAACTCCCTTCCTCTTTACCCCCTCTATTCTTCCCAGGTCCCACTCCCCCCCACCCCTTGGCTTGTGGGCTTTTAAGGAAAGTGATTGCTGATCGAAAGAGGCTGTGAACAGTGAAACTTCTGTCCTGCAGAAATTCAGTTTAAGACTATTCTGGCAGCCCTGATAGAATTTTCCTATTTGTCTTTGCCTTGATGACTTTCCTGATTTCTCTAAATTTAAAGTTTTGCCATGGGGGGGGGGCTGGAGAGACAGCTCAGTGATTAAGTGCACAGATCCCAGCCAACATATAGCAGTTCACAACCATCTGTAACTCCAGTCCCAGGAGATCCTGATGCCCCTTCTGGCCTCTGCTGGCACTGCATGCACAGACAGACATGCAGACAAACCACCCACACACATAAAATAAAAATAAAGGTTAAACACTTTTTAACCTTTCCCGAATTCTAATTATCTACTCTCTATACAAAAGCACGCACATTTATCCAATTCTTCCATTGACAAGATAAAAATAAACACTTTTCTTTTTCAGGCCAAATGTGGTTAGAGACCCCACAGTTGTGGCTTAAGGCTTATTTATATTACTCCTTTTTCTCTCTGAACCCAGATGACCTTTCAGACCAGTTCATTAAGGACTGTGACCTTAAGAAGAAGCCAAAAACGGGGAAGAATGTTCAGGCCGCTCTGAACGTTGAGTCGGAGCAAAAGAAACCCAGGAGGAAAGACACGCCCGCCCTGCACATTCCACCTTTCATACCAGGTAAGAGGCAAGACACCCGCCCTGCGTGGCTGCAAGAACCTGCTGCCAGGCTGCAGCCATCTCCACGGATCTGTCTTTAAACGTTTGTTTTCATTCTAACAGACTGCTAGTGTAGTGTAGTAGCACACACAGACTCCAATGTAGAAATGTTCTCTCTGTAGCCGTGGAGGCTGGTGACAAGCAACTGTCCTGACCTTTTGGGAACTGAAGACCACAAGCTTGTGAGACTTGACATTATCAAAACACAGAGAATAAAGTCCCTACAAGCTTCCAAAGTTAGCATGAATTTCGACCTTCCACAGACATGGGGTGCGACCAGGATGAAAGATTGATGGGAAGAGCCACTTGAGATGGTTCCTCCCCCAATCCTATGTATCACCTGATCATGGGGGAGACTGGAATGGCACTGGAAGAGTGACAGTTAGCATTTCTACTGTGCTTTACTGTGACAGGCTTATTCTTCCACAGCTTTATTTTGTTTCCTCCCCATCTCCTTCACTTTTGGCCATTTAGTTTTGTACCCTTCCTACTTACATGCTTTGAGGGACACTATGCAAACAGTGCACACCTAGGTGAAATTTGCAGCAAGAAGCAGCATTGTAATGGGAGCTCTTAGGTCAAAACCACCGATCTGTGTCTGAGGGGTAATCGTGGAAACGTTCATAAAACTGGGCTATTACAGAAACATGAAATGATGGAAAATCACCACCACCCAACGCCCCTTCCCCTGCATGACAGAGGAGGCAACTGGGTGAAAGTCCATGAAGGTGGGGAGTAATAAAAGAAACGGGATGAACGTGTATGACCCACAGTTTGCATGACAGAAATATGACCCATCCTAGGGTATGGAGGATGGGCTCCACCTCTGCATTCGCTGTGACAAGTCAGAGGTATTTCTCTGCCCCTCTCTCCTGAGATAGGTGACAGTGAAGGCAGTATCAAGTACCTCAATCAAGATAAAACCAGACATTAAAAACACCAAATGATAAAAACTATTCTCACTTATTCATAGGAAGCTTCTTTTTTTTAAAAAAGCAAATTTGAAAAGCTGCATTTTTGCCTTCTCCAGGTATCAGCCCACCAGGTACCTATGCACATCCCTTCAGCATTAGGATCTGTACACTTAACCCTGCTCCTCTTCCTGCTCCTCTAACCATGCAGGTGTGATTTCAGAACACTTAATTAAAAGATACGATGTTCAAGACAGAGTTCCAAAGGTCAAAACAGGCTCAGCGCTTCACAACACCGACATGGAACAGAAAAGGCCAAGGAGAAAAGACACACCTGCCCTGCACACGCCTCCCTTTGTTGCAGGTAATAATTTTTTAAAAGGCTGGCAGACACCAGTCACAGGAATGGTGGAAGCAGGTTGGAGCTTTACCATCTGGAGGTGCGAGAGGCATGGCCTGTGTCCTGGCCCAGCAAGCTGCACCGCACTCAGGTGCCCCAGGGAGGAGTGCACTGCTGCCGCCTCCCAGGTTTTCCTTCATTGGCAGTTCCCCAGGGGGATTTGGGGACAGAGGAGGCTCAGAAATGTCTCCTGCTTCAGCAGACCTGGACGAATTCACTGAGCCAGTGAAGCAGAAATGTCAGTGCGACCTTGAGAAGAGGTGAAATTCCTGCTTCCTCGCCTTACGGGGATGGTGCATGCTGTGGTTGATGGATGATTTCCCGAATTCTATGTACGAGCTGTCAAGATAGGAGACAGAGATGGAGGAAGAGAGAGGAGACGCACAAATATCAATAGCTATATTAAGATGTGTCAGATAATACACACAAAAAAGGTGATGAGGTATTATCCTTGTCCCTGGGAAGTTCACACCCAAGTTGGGGAGTGAGCGGGGAAGGATGCTTGTATACACCGGATTAGACTATGACTCTCTTGCTCACCTTCTTGCCTGCTGTCTGGCTTGCTCATTCGCTGGCTTGCTCGGCTCACACAGCTTTGGAAACTAGCTGTACTGAACTCTGACTACATGCAGCCTTCTTAGAAGATTCACATATGTTGGCAGTGTAGAATACGCAGAAGTCCATCCTCACAGCATCTTCATTCTTGCTGTATTAATCAGCTAGTACTTAGCTTCTGGGAATTAATGTGGAGGAAAGTTCACAATCACATAAACAAACAGATCATCTGATATCTGCTGGGGCAAGTGAAATGAGGAGTCAAGCTAGGAGGGGAATGTACCAGAGAGACGAAGAAGGCAAACTCTCTTGGACACAAAATCTTACATCTACATGCAAGCCAGCTGATGCCTTCCTTCCTAAATACTGAGGTCTGATCCCATGACAGTGGATGCTGACTGCATCCTACCTGTATCCCAGAGGAACAGCCTCCGTACTGAGTCAAAGGGGCTGCTCAAGGGACTGCAGTGTCTACACAGTGTTGTCTATTCGAAGGCTCTATAGACTGTGAAAGGCCTCTAAGTCAGTGAAGCTCTGATTAGGTAGGTGTCTTCAGTGGCAGACATTGCTGGCTTTCCTTACTCTATTGGCTGAGGCTCTTTATTTCTGGAGTCTGTTAGCACGTAAAGAATTGGCAGTAACTGTGATGCTAGTTAAGCTGAAAAGGATAGAGCCTTTGGCAGGTATCCAGAAAGACTCGAGCTCGTCCTAATAAGGCTGTCAACAGGAACTCACAGGCAAGCACCCCGTAGAGACATCTCTCATTAACCCTTGGCAAGTGGAAACTGGACAAGGATTCACTCTCCCTTCTAAATCTCCTGCTAACCGTCTCACTCCCTTAGGTTAATGAGCTTATTTGACAAGTCCAACTGCCTGAATGGACCCTCCAAGGCTTCCCTGCCAGGCCTAGGCTTTGTTTGAACTTGGCCCCACAGTTGCCAAGGATCCATCTTGAAAAACTCATGGCAGGGAGTGTTGGTTGTGTTGGTTAGAAACTGGCACCAAGAGCTGCTTAAGAGAAGTACTTAGTCTACATTGGTGGCAAAAAAAAAGAACCAAAGAAAATGAGGATAATGCAGCAGGAAATATTGAATGTCAACAGGACATTTGGGAATCAGAAATCAAGTTGAGTACTTATACAAAGGAAAGAGGTTAGAACCTCCTCTGAAAATGGCACAAGTCTGTTCTTCTGGTGAAGAGATTCCCTAGTTTGGTTTATGAGGCCAGGTGGTATCTTTGTCAGGTGGTACCTTAGCTCCTCAAGGTTTAAGGAGAATATACTTTTTTAAAAATCATTTTTAAATTCTAATCCTAGTTCCCCTCCCTTCTCTCCTCCTGCCCTCCCCTCCTTTCCCCATCCCAGCTCCCATCTGCTCCTCAGAGAGGATAAGGCATCTCCTAGAATGTCAACTAAGTCTGTTCCACCACCTTTTTGAGTCAGGACCAAGGCACCCTTGCTGCATGTCTAGGCTGAGCAAAGTCTCTCAAGGAGCACATACTTAATGAAGATAGCTAAGTTTGGATGATGTCTAGGCAGGATCTTGCTCGGAAACAGCATGCTGAGCACCCCACAAAGACCCAGGACTAGAATCCCTTAAACACTAAATTCTGTTTTACACGGAAAGAGAGAATTTGGTATCTGCTAGATCTTTCTATGTCTGAGTCTTGTGCTAGATGGTGGATATAGGGGATTGCTGGGAAGTTGAATGTTGCTCACGGATTCCCACAATGCCCAGTGATTTTAGCACAAGTTCTAAGGTGGTCTAATTCTTAGAACATTAAAGAATATGGGCCTGGACTTTGGGAGATGGTTCAAAGGATGAAGTGTAGAGCCTGAGTTTAGATCTCCAGATCCCAGCTTTTTTGTCTGGGTGGTGTCACAGAGGCCTGTCTGTAGCCCCAGGGCTCAGGAAGTAGAGATGAGGGCTGCCAAAGGCAAGCTGGCTAGCTAGGCTGGCTTGCTGAGTTGCAAGTTCAGAGCCGCCCTGCCTCAGTATATAAAGTAGAGAGTCATTATAGAAGATACTTGATATAAAGCTCTTGTCTCTACTCTACATACAAATGCATACATGTAGCTGCAAAATATGCAGACTCACATGCATGTATACACACACATGAAAAATTACAAGGAAAAGTGAATTGAAGGCCTGAGTCTCTCCTGCAGCATTGAGCCCTATAGGAAATGCAAATTCTGTTTCCCAGCTGAATTAACTGAGACTTGTGTGGTTGAGTGAGCTCCTCAGTGGTACCTGGTGACCAAGGGAAGCGCTCTGGCTTTAGCATCTCCCTCCCTTCAGGGACATAGTTCTGACTCCTCAGAACAGAAACCAGGAGTGAGACAAATCACATTATTTCCCAGACTGGGTTGTCCTCAAACCCTCAAAGAAACAAGGACAAAAGCAGCAGTGGGGACATGTACCCCTTCCTATGTGGATTCTCTGAACAGGATACCAAGAAAGTGAAGACTCTGCGGAGCTGCTGTACTAGTCACCCTTCTGGCAAGGTGGCAAAACACCAAGAGCGTCAACATAAAGCCAGGAGGGTTTTATTTCACTCAATTTTCAGAGCCAGAGCTTTAGTCCATACTTGCTTGGCTTTGTTGTCCTTGAGCCTGTGGCCAGACAGGATGCTGCAAAGCGAGGTGCTTGGTAGAGCAAAGCCTTGCACCTTGTAGTGGCGTGGAAAGAATTTGGGGATGGGATGTCAACACCCTGAAGGGTATGCTCCAGCAATCTCCCTTCCTTCTGGTAGGCCTGCATCCTAACAACTCCTCCTCCCAGTCTCCACAGCATCTGGGAGCCCTGTTAAGAGCCCAAACACAACACATCCCATAGCTTTTCCTTTAAACTATTCCAACCAATGTTTCACACGTTGAAATAAAATGACAGCTCGTTTAGCACTTGAGACTGTGTTCTGTGCCCCTGTGAGCAGGTTGGGTCACTTCAGGAAGGGCCAGCCTTTACCACTTAATACACTCCTGCTGCACCTGCTGTCCCAGGGCCTCCTCCCTACCCTCTGGCCCAGATTTTCCAGACCTACATTTCATGGCTATCCAAAGTCAATAGAAAGTTACAGAATACAGCAATGTAAATGGTTTACGCCAATTTTAAACTACCCAAAGTCCATCAGCATAGCTAATTCTACATGCTCCTGGCATGCTAGCCTTAACTCTAAATAAAAACCTAACTCTGTGCCACTGTTACAAGAGAAACTTTCTCTGGCTGTGCTTTATAAGTAATTTATGCAAAGTTTTAACCTTAGCGAGACTTGAAATTGTTTTTATCCACCAATAAATACTGGCTAACTGGTTTAAAATATAAACAGAGAATTGAATCTAATTAATAGTCATCGAGACCCATACATAGTTTTCATTAATTTGTTGATGGTGAGTGGAGGCCAACGCTGTGGAAAGGCTGAGTGCAGAGCCCAACTTTATTCCCCAAGCTCAGATCATTGCAAAGTGCTGCATGGACAGGAAGGTCTTTGCTGAGAGGAGAGGAGCAGGCTGGGCAAGGCTGTGGTTGGGAAATGTGTCTGGGGACTAAAGGGAAATAGCAGAAATTACAAGGACTGGTCTTGACCCAGGTTCACTTGTCATTTCTTAAAATGGACCCTCTGTCACAGAATGGGCACGACCTCCCAAGTCTCCTTTGCTGGCCTCTTCTGAACCCATCAGGCTTGAAAATTTATACTAAAAAAAGATAATAAATCTTCTGAATGTCACTGGTCAGGGAATCTTTGGAAGAACAACTTCATTTTGCCTAAGTAAGGATTCATCTAACATCTTTATATCTTGTGAAAAATGGGGATATTTTAATTCTACCTCCGAGGAAAGAATTGCTCTAATGTGTGGCCATACCATGTGTGAACACTCTAGTATCTTCCCTTTGCTCTGAAGAGTGTGGTCTCTGTCATCCAAGGGTTGACACTGGGGAGCAGACATTCAGAGATTAATATTTTCTCTGATGCTTTTAAATTTGACTTTGTAAGGCTTGCTGTTCCATTCAAAAGGGAAATAAACTAGAAAATTATGGAAAAACAAAAAATCCATCATTTAACTGACCATAGATGTGGCTTTAAATTTTTTGTACTATGTATTTATGAACTGGGGGTGGCAGGCAACACATGTTCACCCCTTGGTCCATGGAGGTCAGAAGATGCATGAAGGAATTAGTTCTCTCCTTCTGTTGCAAGGGTCCTGGTGGTCAGACTCAGTCTGTCAGGGTTGATGGCAAGCATCATTATTCTCTGAGCCATCTCACTGGCCTACAGAGGTGGCTTTCAGCTAGACACATTACAAGCATCTTATTAATTGACACATGGCTCTCTGTAGTATTAGTGTCTCGCTTTTACACTTGAGAACAAAACATTACCTTGCCCAATTCAGATGAAAAGAGTGACTGAACTGAAGCCCCTGATAGTAGGCCTCCTAAATCCCTGTGCCTTCTACCTCACTGTACTGTAAGACAGGGGTGAAGTGTGCTGTGGCCTGGGCCTCTGTCTCCCCTTCTGTCCAGAGCAGTGTCCTCTTGAACACCTCTGTGATGGTTAAATAAGGTCACCTAGTTCTCTGCCCCCTACACAAACATTTCTGAATCACTATGCCTTTGAGAGCAGTCTTAGTGTGCCAGGGAAGTCTAATATTTCAATTGGACATTCTTAATTGCAGGTCTACATTTTGTTTTTGCAGGTTTGACTCTGCTTGGAGATGAGAGCCCCAGAGTGATTATGGAAGATGATGAAAAGGATGGTGACAAGATAACTATTTAAAGACATCTCTCCTGAGATTGCATGTAAATAGGTTAGATCATTCCCAATGGTGACCTAGAGGAAAAAAATAGATTTGTCTCTGCTCTCATTTTGTCCTAGTCTGACTCTAAGATCTAGATGCCTCCTTCCCAGGAGACCTAATGGTCAGGTTGCCCATCACCTCCTTATCTTTCCTCTTGAGCTGCTTTCCAGACCCACTTCTTGAACTACCATGCAGTGAGAAGGATATTTTTCCAAAGTAAGAGGCGAAAGAGAGAGCTCAGTGTCTGCAAGCAAAGAACACAAGGAAAAAATTGAAAAGGAGTCCTTTGCTCCTGGCTTAGTGGCTGGGCAAAGTCTGAGTCAGCATCAACCACACCCACCTTGGAGGTCAGCAGGGTCACTGCCGCCAGTTATACTGGTGAGAACATTTGGTCTCTAGCTTACAGAATGTTCTGATGAAATGGTTTTTCATTTCTTCCTTCCTACATCGTGAGTTCAACTCTGGTCACACTCTGAAGCCCCTCTTTACAGATGCTATAAAATGTTCAAGAAGAAGTAGCCAGTCCACTGTGCAATAGCTGAAGATGTCAGAGGCAGAGAGTTCTGGTCTACATAGGTCTTTTAATTAATTTTATTGTTAAAAATGAGAGTTCTTAACTATGCTGGTTATCTTGACGTTTGTGAATTTTGTCATAAGTGAGTTATCACTAATGGTAGGTAAATCAATACCAGTGATGGTAAGGAGTTTATTTTTAAAAATTTAAGGCTGGTTGAAGGTTGTTCTAATATCTTCATCTCACTTATTTAGACTGAAATATGCTTTCTTGTATAGGAGGTGGGGTTGTCTAGTGAATATGAATATGCATTTAATTTCTGTGCAGCTGGCAATCTCTGTATGCCTGTGGGGGCCTTTGCATATAGAATTCATCCACCAGACAGCCAACAGGGAGAAGGTGAGGAGTGTTAGATGGAAAAGGAGCAGAGGATCTAGAGGAGGAGCATGGGATGGTTCTGTATATACTTGAGTTCTATCTAGCTGTTATCCTTTCTGTCCCCTTGCAAAGATGCAAAAGATGCAAGACATTTCAGAAATAAAGATGCCTCTGCACACATCCCTGTGTCCTGGAAAATCTCTCCAAATACCCCACTTGTGTATAATTATAAAGAGCAAAGATTGAGGAATTAGTAGCCACAAGCAAACCTCGAACGGTTTGGCTTTGGTATGCTTACGTTTTTGTTTGGCCCACAAAGATTTTTTCTCTTTAGACAATGTTTTCTCTTTTATTTTCTATTCACTTATGTATGTATATTTCTATTTTAATTTCATCTTACATTCCAATAACATTTCTCCCTTCCATCCCTCCTCCAGCCCCTCTGGGCCTCTCCCTCAACCACCACCCACCCAATCCTCCCAAAGGGTAAAGGCTCCCAAGGGGAGTCAACAAAGCCTGGCACATTAAGTTTAGGAAGAACCAAGCCGCTCCCCCACTGCATTAAGGCTGAGCATGGGCATGTCACCATAGGGAGTGGGATCCCAGAATCTAACTTGTGTGCCAAGGATAGATCCTGGTCCCACTGTCAGGGGCCTCTCAGATAGACCAAGCTAACACAACTGTCTCCCACATGCAGAGGGCCTAGCTCAGGCCCATGGAGGCCCCACAGCTGTAAACAATGAATGACATCATGAAATGTGCAGATCAATGGATGGAACTAGAAGAAAACATCCTGAGTGAGGTAACCCAGACTCAGAGAACAAGGAGAACCTTAAGAGGGACACATGGATTATGGATCCCCTGGAAAGAGGAATTACATGATCTCCTGAGTATACTGGGGGCAGGGCAGTTAATTTGGGGAAGATGGGGCATGAGAGCACGAGAGAACATGATGGTGGACTTGGATGAGGGATGGAGGGAGAGGGCAATGAAAGAGATATCTTGATAGAGGGAGCCATTATGGGGTTAGGGAGAAACGTGGTGCTAGGGAAATTCCCAGGCATCCACAAGGATGACTCCAGATAAGACTCTTAGCAATAGTGTACTGAGAGGGTGCCTGAACTGGCATTCCCCTGTAATCAGAATCCTGACTACCCCAACTGCCGTCATAGAGCCTTCTTCCAGTAATTGTGGAACCAGATGCACAGATCCACAACCAAGTACAAGGCCAAGCTCTGGGAATCCAGTTGAAGAGAGGGCAGAAGGAATATATAAGCAAGGGAGGTCAAGATCATGAACAGGAAATCTATAGAAATAGCTGAACCAAGATCATGGGATGATTTTTTAAATCCTTGAATTAGCTATTAATATTTAAGGATCACATCCAGAAAATCTATATGGAATACTAAGTTTTATTATTTTTCTTGAGAAAATGTTTGGTGGGCTGACAGTCTAGGCAGGTGGGAATCTAACTAAAATGTGCCAACCTATGACTACTGAGTTCTGCACATAATTCTAGAAGGGATACACACACACACACACACACACACACACACACACACACACACACCTTTTGGAGTTCTTTCCCACCCTAGCTATTGACCCATTGACTTCATGGTAAGTAAAGTCTAAACCTTCATGACTCTAAAACTTTTCTGGGAGTTTAGAAGCCCATATAATTAAGTTAGCAAGAACATACAACTTATTCCCAGGAACTTCTTATCTTCCTGATCCAAGCAATCCTTGTTTGGGGGAATGGGGATTGTGAGCACACTGCCGATTGAAACATACATGATGAAAAGGGTCACTGTAAAGTTTTTAAAGAGCCAAGAGCATTTACAGACAAGTGAACATCAGCATGAGTGCACCAAAAACAGAATGATTTGCAGAAGGTTCCTAGATGAGAAAACACAGATGCACTCTTGTCTTACTAGACATTCTGTTTAAACATAGAGCCACTCCTGTAGGGTGTGCTTAATGACTCCTAGTAGCTTGGGAACACGCCCTTCAGCACCCAGACACCCAGGATCTCCTTCAGTCTGTCATCTTTGCAGATGGGAACAAACTAACTGCTCTAGAAGCAAGGTGCTTGGATCCCAGTCCCAAATGTGTGACACTGAGCAAATCCCTGGAGCTCTGTGTTTGAAAATAAGGATGATGGTCCTTCTTTTACCTTCTTCATAGTTTGAGAATCAGAGTGTAGACAAGGAGTTTTGTAAGCTAAAATGCCCACCTACTGGGAGGATTTGAGCATGGACAATGCCTTTCTGTGGATGAACCCCATCTGCCATAGTGTTGCTGTGAATAGTTATGAAGAATGAATTCAGCACATCTGAAGGACATCAAGTCAGGAGGGCTGGCTACCTGTGTAGCCTTCATAGAAATATCTGCCTTCTCTTCATGGGAAGCTGGCCCTTGTGACAGAGTCACAGACAATGTGGGAAGGGGCAAAGCCAGATAAAGTGCAGCCAAACCTGAATGCCACTGCAGTAATGAGGGTTGGAGTCAAACCTCCCCCCTGCCCCTTGGTGCGTGTGGCCCTATTCTGGGTAACAGATTGGGCATTTAGTAACTAGGCTTGTGGATAGTTCTCTATATACTGTACATTCCCTCTTATCAAATGATGATGCTGGTAGTAAATGTGTCGAAACACCATTCAGAAAGCAGGTTCAATATGAAGAAGCAGTTGGGCCTTCATTATTTCAGTGAACCTGAGCTCACTGAGATGAGGACACACCACACGTGAGTGTTGGGGATGTCCTTCTGTATGCTATGAACATATGTTTCTCTTATTGGTTCATAATTAATATAAGCCTCTGTGTGTTATTTGGCACTAAACAGCTATGGGACCGGGCAGGGCACAAACTTCCATCTGCACGTGACAGTTAGCTCTCTCTCTCAAAAGCACAGTCCACATAGCTTCTTAGCAGTTGTTGGCTGAGGTCACACAGCCAGCTTCTAATGTCTCATCATTACTTGGAGAGTCAGAAGAGGAGCTGTAGGGTGGGACAGGACCATGAAGAAAGAGAGAAGGGTTTTCTTTTAACTACAATTGTGTTAGTTTTCCTTCCCCAGCCTGTGGTATCCATGTTGCCCTCTTGGAAGAAGAGGAGACTGAGTTAGATGTGGTTGTGGAAATAAGTTCATAAAGCAACTATCTTTACCAGCTAAGAGGCTGGTCACCCAACGGGTTTGGTGCAGCCTCTGTTATTCCCTGTGAGTGGGGATTCCTTGCCGCTGTGATTGGTGAATGTGTAAGTGATACAAGAGGCACAAACAGTGAGTGGAGGCACAGGTGGTGGGCAGCTGGGGACGCCCTTCAGCACCCAGACACCCCGGATCTCCTTCAGTCTGCCATCTTTGCAGACGTTCTGAACATGATTTGAACCACCACATCAAGCCAGAAAACTACTCACAGGTTTTCCCTTTGAAGGCATCTTCTCTGGACCAAAGCTCGTGGAGACAAGGATGCACTCACTCCACATGAGAGTTAGGTCTCTCTCAAGAGCACCAGCCAGGGTCTTTCTTTAAACCCAGACAGACTTCATAGTATTCACAGAACTTACCTGTTGTTGGAAACAAGCTGAGCCCTGGAACATCTAGTGTCAACTTACTTTCTCAGGGAGAAAAGAATAGATCAGAAAAACTCCAAGATGCCCTAAATGGATTCGAAGTGCAGAAGGCCTAGGAGGAGAGAGGAGTCAATCAGTGAACAGTTGCAGGCAGAAACGACAAAAGACTATTGCACACTCCTGAGTATATGTTAAATCCCAGTTTCAAACCTTCCCATCCCAGACTGCTTGTCAGTGTTTGTTATCATTTCTACAACTGTAACCAACCCAGAAAAGGATTCCTTCTCCCTCTGAATGTTCCTCCTGCCCCTAAGTCTTTCTCCACCACCAAGGACACTGCTGTCAGTTTATAAGTCAAGGTGGTATAGGTTTCAACTCCAAATTTTCAATGCAGAAATATTTTTAAATTACTTTATTACTGCGTGTGGGGGGATTGTGTGTGTGTGTGTGTGTGTGTGTGTGTGTGTGTGTGTGTGTGTGTGTGTGTGTGTGTGATATGGGTAGGTCAGAAGACTCACAGGAGACAGGAATCTTATCTCCTCTTACACCCACCATGCGGGTCCCTGGGATTAAACCCAGGTTGTAAGCTTGGCCACAAGCACCTTTACCCACTGAGCCATCTTACCAGACCTTTAGGAACACTCTTAGCTAGAGGTCCAAGAGACAGCTTTCCAATCACTGCCTCACCCTGCAGCTGGGGGCAGAGAGAACCTTGCCCAGAACCTGGATCTTTTCTGCCCAGCATCGGTAAGGGTACAAGAAACCCTTTAATTTCTGCCAATTCCCAAGTCTCTGCTTTTTGACACCTAAAGTATCAGGTCCTTCCAGCAAGATGAGAGTCCTCAAAGGAAGTCACAGGAGAAAAACAGCAGGAAACAAAAGGTAAATTTTTTTCACCCTGATGTGCCTCTTCCTCTTGATGCCAAAGATCTGCCTGCGAGCTGACTAAACAAATAAACAAACAAAAAGCTAAACCATAGGCCCTCCATTCCTTATATGTCAGAGGCAGAAGGAAACAATATATGCTTCAATATTTGCCAGTCAAATTGCACGCACAGTATTTCCCCTGCTCTTTTCCCTATATGTCGCGTTTAATCTTTAATAACAATTTGTAAAAACATTAAATAAGAGCCAGGGAATGGAGAGTCAAGGCAGCCCACGTGAGAGTTCAGGTCTCTTACTAGCCCAGTGCTGTTCATGTGTCCATAGTGTGTGGAATTCTGAGACTCTTCTTTGAAGTGGGGTCCAGGGCATAATGGAAGCTAAGGGATCTTTCTGTAACCCAGAAATAGGTCAGTTATGTAAGCAGCTTCTAACAGTCAACCTCTGTGGCGATTGGATCTAAAATGCCCCCACTACAGCTGTGTGAATGCTAGGTCACAAGTAGGTAGCACTATTTCAGAAGGTTCTGGAAACTTTAAGAGATGGGGCATGCCTGGAAGAAGAACACCAATGTTGACCAGGCCCTTGGGGACTGTTTCTTGCTCTGGCATCTTCTTATTGCCCTTTCTCTGGTTCCTATCTTTGTGAGGGAAACAGCCTCCTCCTGCTCCTGTTTACACAGCCAAGGTGATGGGGACTTCACCATGGGCCCAGGACCAATTAATG